TATACAAAATTGACCCTGTAAACTCTACCAAAGGACTCCTATAGCTGATAAATGCCTTCAGTGAAGCAGCAGCGTACAAGATCACATCAAAAAAATCAGTAGCCCTTCTATACACAAAGGATAAAAAAGCTGAGAGGAAAATCAGATAAGCATGACCTTTCAGAATAGCCACAAATAGCCCAAAATAATCTTGGGGTAACAATAACCAAGGAAGTGAAAAATCAGTTTGACAAAACCTTTAAGTCTTTGAGGAAAGAAATTGAAGAGGATACCAAAAAATTTAAAGATCTCCCATGCTCTTGGATTGGTAGGATCAACATAGTGAATCTTCCTTTTTTATGTCCCTCTAATCAGTTCTGATAAATGTGTGATATCACTGGTATTGGTGGAGCATGCTGGGAGGATTTGCTGAAGGAGGCACAGTCAGGAAGACCATGAGATTAGGTCCAGCCTGGGTTACGCAAGGGTGTGATACCATCTTTTTGTCACATTCAATCATTTCCTTGTAGAAATGCTTCCTCCTTACTCAATATTGACTTTAGCATGCCAATTGACAGCAGGGATGGAAAGACATACCTAAGCACTTGTTAAATTTTTATGCTTAGCGTGAAATTTTTTTGCAAATAAAAATATTTTGTTTTTGTGGTTTATATCTTATTTTAACCAGACATGCTTTTTCCTTCCAGGGGGGTGGGGAGCAGGTGACATGGTGCACATATATAGGTCAGATAAAACTTTTGGTAGTTGGCCTTCTTCTTCTAGGGTATTGAACTAAGGTGACCAGTCATAGTACAAGTACTTTTTTTCTGCTGAGCTATCTTATCAGCCCCCACCAAGATTTTGTTTTTCAGAGACAGGATTTATGTGTGTTAATAGCCCTAGCTGTTCTGAAATTAGCTCTACAAGACTGGGCTAGCCTTGAACTTACAGAGATCCACTTGCCTCACCTCCTGAGTTCTGGAATTAAAAGTGTGTGCCACCACTATTCCCTGCCATGATTTTGATAGAAGTATATATCATTGTGACCTGTCTTACTGAACTGACTTTGGAGATCCAATGTATTTAAAAACCAAAATACTCTTCCTTGGGTCTATGTCCTTAATGGTTCTGTAAAGTGGCTGAGTCAGCAGCAGGAACTGTTCTCTATCACTGATACTAGGGTTTGGTTAGAGCTTTGGAATAGTTGTCACCATTATACTATGAGACAGAAACAAGTGGGAGGAGCCTCTGGCTCTTCCTGCTTCTTCATCTCTTCTCATCCATCCTTAACACAGGGATCTGCTGAGATGCACAGCCCATAAAGATCATGTCATTCAGTGCCAACATTGGTTTTGCTGTCTGTCCAATAGCCCTGTGTGAACGTCTCCTAGCAATATTATTGCTTATCAACACTCAATAGTGGTTATATTTTAGCTTTTCACTGACCTAATATCTTTTTATTTTATTTATTCTTCCACTGCTTTTTAAAAAGTGGATCTCTATACATATCCCTGGCTGTTCTGTCACTCATTATGTATTCCAGACTTGTCTTGAACTTAGAGATCCATTTACTTCTGCCTTCTAATTGCTATGTTTAAGGATGTGTGTCATACCTGAACCCAATACAGTTTTTATATGAGATATTGTCTTACATTTTTATTATTTTTGCATATGTACCAATGAATTTAACTGGAATGACTTACAGAATCATGAGTGAGTGAGTGTGAGCAGCTTACCCATGGTTCACCACTTCTTGCCTTCTCACAGCAACTATTTCTTTTTGATTTTTTCTTATACTTGCTCATTTATTACAGAGGGACATATGTTCCATGGAGCACATGTAAAGGTCAGAGGACAACATGTGGCAGTCAGTTCTCTCTCTTTACCTTATAAATCCCAGGGATAGTACTGGTGTTGATTGGACCATTTTGCTTTCCCACCCCAGAAGCTAGCTGTGTGCAAGTCCTCAGAAAAGCGCAGGACCTTGAGCTTCCTGCAGGAATGTTGACAACCAAATCACTCACAGTGTTTGCAAAGGTAGTCCTAGCTGCAGGGAATACCAGAATATAGAAGACAGCATTACAGTTCTCCCCTCTACCTTCTGGCTCTTATGTTCTTTCTGCCCTCACTTTTATATTTTCTAAGTATTGGAAAGGTTGATATAGATGCCTCAGTTAAATTCTGTACTTCCATTTGTTTTGAAGCTCAATGAATCAAAACCAGGGCCTGCTGTACTCTAGGTAGTCATTCTACCAAAGAACTGCATCTGAAGCTAAGATAGTGAATTGTGTTTTTTTTATTAATTTATAAAAATTTCCACTTTCTTTTTTTTTATTAATTTACAAAAATTTTCACTTCCTCCCCTCCTCCCAATACCCTCCAAGTCCCCCCACTTCCTCTCCTCCTCCCTTTCCAGTCCTAAGAGCAGTCTGGGTTTCCTGCCATATGGGAAGTTCAAGTTCCTCCCCCCTCCCTCCAGGTCTAGGAAGGTGATCATCCAAACAAACTAGGATCCCAAAAAGCCAGTACATGCAGACGAAATAAGACCCAGTGCCATTATCAATGGCTTCTCAGACAGCCCCATAATATTTTATTATTTTTAAGATTATTATTTTTATTTTAAGTTTTAAAATAATAAAGTTTTTGTTTTACTCTAAAATATTTAATATCAACTTTACTGTTCTATATTAAGTCCTTAATTATAAATTGTAGTTCAGTATTTTATTTGTTAAACATCTATTACTATAGCTTGTGTTATATTTGTGTGTGTTTGTGTTTCTGTGTGTGTGTGCATGTGTGAGTGTATGTCTGCACATGAGTGCTGATTATCATGAAGTCCAGAGGCATTAACAGCTGGTAGCTGTAGTTAGAGGTGGGTGTGAGCTCTTGGATTGGTAGGATCACCATAGTAAAAATGGCAATTCTACCAAAAGCAATCTATAGATTCAATGCAATCCCCATCAAAATACCAACACAATTCTTTACAGACCTTGAGTGAACAATAATCAACTTTATGTGGAAAAGCAAAAAACCCAAGACAGCCAAAACAATCCTATAGAATAAAAGTACTTCCAGTGGCACTACCATCCCTGGATTCAAACTCTATTACAGAGCTACAGTAATGAAAACAGCTTGGTATTGGCAGAAACACAAATGTTGACTATTGGAATCAAATCAAAGACCCAGATATTAATCTACAAACTTATGAACACCTGATTTTCGACAAAAAAGCTAAAATTATACAATGGAAGAAAGGAGGAATCTTTAACAAATGGTACTGGCATAACTGGATGTCAACCTGTAGAAGAATGAAAATAAATCCATATATATATCATCATGCTCACAACTCATAAGATACCAAAGAAAACCAAGAAAAAGCTTTAAAACAGGTAATGGAAACAGTTCAAGACTTGAAAAATGAAATGTAGGCAATGAAGAAAGCAGAAATCGAGAGATGGCAGGATATGGAAAATCTGGGTAAGCAATCAGGAACTACAGAGACAAGTATACCAAACAGAATAAAAGAGGTAGAAGAAAGAATTTCAGACACTAAAGATACTATAGAGAAAATAAACTCCTCAATCAAAGAAAACAACAAATCTAACAAAGTTTTAATACAAAACATCCTGGAAATCTGGGACACCATGAAAAGATCAAACCTAAGAATAATAGGGTAGAAGAAGGAGAGGAATTACAACTCAAAGGCCCAAGTAATATATTCAACAAAATTATAGAAGAAAACTTTCCCAGCCTAAAGAAGGATATTCCTATGAAGGTACTAGAAGCATACAGAACACCAAACAGACTGGATTAAAAACAAAATCAAAAACAAAAGACATCCCCTCAACACATGATAATCAAAACACAAAACATCCAGAATAAAGAAAGAATATTAAGAGCTGAAAAGGAAAAATGTCAAGTGGCATTGGGCATCTCTTGGGTATATTCCCAAGGGTGGAATGGCGGATCCTAACATAGGTTGACTTCCAGTTTTCTGAGAAATTGCCACACTGATTTGCAAAGTGGTTGCACAATTTTGCATTCCCACCAGCAATGGGTGAGTGTTCCCCTTACTACACATCTTCTCCAGCATAGGTTATCATTGGTGTTTTTGATTTTAAAGATTCTGACAGGTGTAAGATGGTTTTTCAAAGTTGTTTTGATTTGCCTTTCCCTGATTGCTATGGAAGTTGAACATGACCTTAAGTATATTTTGGCCATTTGCACTTGTTTTCTGTTGAGAACTCTCTGTTCAGTTCACTACCCGCTTTTTAATTAGATTCTTCAGAATTTAATATCTAGTTTCTTGAGATTATATATTTTGGAGATCAGGCCTTTGTCTGATGCAGGGTTGGTGAAAATCTTCCATTCATTAGGTTGCCTTTTGTCTCAATGACAGTGTCCTTTGCTTTACCGAAGCTTCTCAGTTTCAGGAGGTCCCATTTATTCATTGATGCTCTTATTGTCTGTGCTACTGGGGTTATATGTAGGAAGTGATGTACTGTGCCCATGTGTTGCAGTATACTTCCAACTTTATGTTCTATCAGGTTCAGTGTGGTCAGATTTATATTGAGGTCTTTAATCCATTTGGTCTTGAGTTTTGTGCCAAATGTAGCATGAATAACAAAAATCTAGAGACATATATTGGGCTTTATTCTGAAAATCAGAAAAGCAAAGCAACCAAGCCACTAGAGAGCTCTTAAAGCTAAGAAATACTCAGACTAAAGGAGAGTGAGTTCCTGTCTTGGTTCAGTTTATATTCTTCCCCAGATCTGGGATTAAAGGTGTGAGCCACTACCAACTGGATCTGTTTCTGCATTTATTTTGTGTAGCCCAGGGTAGTATTGAACTCACAGAGATCCATCTGCCTCTGCCTCCCAAATCCTGGGATTAAAGGTGTGTAACAATACTGCCTTACCTCTAGTGGATTGGATTAGTTTTATCATCTTTCTTTAGAAAACTTTATTTATAAAACATGAAAAAAATATCACTATAGGTTAATTAGTTGTTTTTTCAAACAGGTTGTTTGATGGTCCAACATCCCTGTTAACTATCACAGATCCAGACATGATCAAGAATGTACTTGTGAAGGAATCCTATTGTCTTCACAAACCGACGGGTAAAAAACTTCGTATTTTAATTGCAAAAATGAAAGATTCATTTTTGTTGTGTTTATTGATGTGAATGTATGTGTGCCTCTATGACTCAATGCCGTAAGTGTATAAGTTCCTCTGGAGGCCAGAAGAGAATTTGAGATCCCCTGGTTCTGGTGTTCCAAGCACTTGGGAGTAGCAGGCCACGGGAACTGAACCTGACTCTTCCAGAAGAGCACCAAGCACCCTTAACCCCTGAGTCATCACTAAGCTACCCCCTTTAATAATGTAAACATTTATATTTTACTTTGCTTATTAAATTATTTGAAGACAGTTTTTCTCTGTGTAGTCTCACCTCTCCTGAAGCCTATTCTGTAACCAGTTTGCCACAACTTAGAGTTCTGCCTGCCTCTACCTGCCTCTGCTTTCCAAGTACTGTGTTTAAAGGCATGTGCCAGTGCTGCCTAGTGAGACTGGGTATGTGGAGCCCTTTTTTTCCCTTTTGTCACTTTCAAGACAAGGTTTCTAATGTAGCCCTGACTATTCTGGAATTCACTTTGTAGACCATGCTTGCCTCAAACTCACAGAGATCTGCATTCTTTTGCCTCTTGAGTGCTAGTATAAAGGTACACAACACCATGACCTAGCAACTTCTTTAACTGAATGAAATATATATATATATATATATATATATATATATATATATATATGCCTCCATAATAATATGCAAGCTGGCTGTAGATAGTCATTTTGCTAATGAAGAAGTATAAATGTACTATAGTATTGTACTCAGGTTGTAGATCTACACTGTTGTCATCTAAGTTGTGTTTACATTTTCTGTTTCATGGGTTCTTTCTTATATCAATACAGTTTGTCACAGAACTAGATTTGTATGGTGACAAACATTGATAAAAGAGAGCTGCTTCTTTACCTGTAATTCCCTCTTGGTAGTCCATTAGCTCCTAGATACAGCCTGCCTTTCTCCCTTCAACTTGTATATCTATTTCTCTTCTCACTGGATGGTGTGGTCAGGGTCAGGTCTGATGATTATTCACCTGGTCTTTCTGTATGAATCTGCTTGTGTACAAATTATATCCTATTGAGATTAGCTCTCAAATCTAAAGCTTTATATATGTTAATTTAATGTTTAATTTAATAATGTTCTCTTTCTCTTTTTTTTAAAACCATGACTATCCCTCTGTTCTATCTAGGGAAATCCATTGGTTCTCTCTATGCCATAGGTCCTTGGGATTGAAGTAAGACTGTTGGGCTTAGCAGCAAGCACATTTACCTACTGAGCCATCTCTTAGACCCTCATTCAGTCTTTGATTATTTGGAGAAGTTGGCTGAAGCTGCCCTTCATCAAGAGAAGCCATTTTCATTTCTTCCTACTGTGCTGTTTTAATATAAGGGCAGTTGGGGTACTCCACGTGGTATAAAATGTACTTGTGGAAGACAAAAGGAAGTTCCCACCAGGGAAATGGAACTATATTTTCTTTTTTATCATTGCATAATGAATTAAGGAAAGAGACTTATGTGGCACTATTTCTAAATAAAAAAATCCCAAACCAAACAAACTAGGGTCTAGAGAGATGACTTAGTTGCAGTAAAGTCTGAAAGTGGATGAGCAGTTGGTTGTCCACATCGATACACAGGGGCTCTGAAGTACCTGTAACTCCTGCTGCACAAAATCCAATTGCTTTTCTAGCCTCTGAATAAACTGCATACACACACACACACACACACACACACACACACATACATTCATAACACACACATACAGAGAAACATGCATAGAATATTAAAATATATCTTGAAAACCCAAACACCAAACCCTTTAAGTGTCTCAAGCTAGAGAGATGATGGCTCAGTGGGTAAAAGACAAGAGTTTGGATCTCAGCATCCCATAAAACATGGACATACCTTTCAGAGCTCTGTTTGGAAATAGGTAGGCCCTAGGGGCAAGCTGTCTATCTACTCTAGCCAAACTAGAATGTTCTAGGTTCTTTGAGGGGTCTGACTCAAAAAATGCAGTAGGGACTTATAGAGGAAGATGCCAGATCTCTGGTCTCCTGATGAGCATGCACACTGCACTCTAATCTATACACACACACACACACACACACACACACACACACACCCCACATGCACACCATATCCAAAATCCCTTTTAAATACAGTGCTTGTGAACTTGTCTGGTGCAGAGTTAAATTACTGTCCTATCGCCAAGCCATTTGCTATCTGCATAGCTCTGGAGAATTTACTAAAAGTCTTGTTCCCATTTTTATCTCCACCCTGGAAATAATTTTCCAGTCAAAAAGAGATTTATGTTTAGAAGGATCCTGGATATAAGGGTTTGAAATATCAACAGGCAGCTAGCTCAGTGAGCACCTGAGTTCGTACAGGATGTGAGTAAATTCTGAGTATTTTTGCATTTAGCATAAGTGTTGATCCATAGCAAACAGTCATTAACTAGATGTTATACAACAATATCCACTTAGCACTTTTGTAACTATGGAAAATTCTGGACTTATAGAGAACAAATATCTATATTTTTTTGGACTCCAGGATATTGGCCCAGTGGGGATAATGAGTAAAAGTCTGACCGCATCTAAGGATGAGGGGTGGAAGAGACTTCGAGCCTTGCTATCTTCCACCTTCACCAGTGGAAAACTCAAAGAGGTGACTAAAATGACTTCTAGCTGAAATGTTTGTGTGACTTGAGTTTCCACACCCAACAATCATGGATGCCTTTGTGTTTTGTGCTTAGATGTTTCCCATCATTGAAGAGTATGGAGATATTTTGGTAAAATACTTGAGAAAAGAGGCAGAGAAAGGCAAACCTCTCAACATGAAAGAGTGAGTTGTGGTACATCCACTGTGGGTCTGGAAGAGGAGGGGCAGCAGGGGCAGAAGGGCCATCCTTCTGTATGTCTCACATGTCCAGCTTTTCATTCTTCCCTTTTAGACACTGGATGATAAAGGTGGGAGTGCCCAGATAACAAGGGTAGAGGTTGGGTAGGAGGGAAAGTTGCTTGGTCAATAATGAGGTGAGGCAACTTAGCCTGTCTTGGCCAAGAATATGATTACTTCAGACTTCTTCCTGCATGTGTTAAATCCCATGTCTCTCTCTTCTCAGAGTGTTTGGGGCCTACAGCATGGATGTGATCATGAGCACAGCATTTGGTATGAACGTTGATTCCCTCAACAATTCAAAGGACCCTCTTGTGAAAAAGACCAGGAAGTTCTTAAAAATAGATTTCTTTGACCCACTTTTATTTTCACTAAGTATGTATGATGGTTCTTCTGCCTTTTGCCCCACTGATCTTGTGTGTGGCTATGTTTGTCAGTTCTGTCTTGCTCTTCCACAGTCTCCACAACTAACAGCTCTATTGGAATACAAGTCACCCTCTTAAGGGCACAATCCAACATTTTTAGTGCTTTCAAAGACATGTAGCCCATTACTCTTGTTTTATAACTCAGTTTTCTTTTAGACAGGGTTTCACTATGTTGCTATAGCTTGCATGAATGTTGCTGTGTAGACTAGGCTGGTCTTGAACATACAGTTCAAGGCCCTGCTGCTGCCTCCAGAGTGCTGGGATTAGATGCTTCTGCCATCATTCCTGTCTTAGTTTTAGAATTATTTTATTTATCCTTTGACAATATAACATAGATATACAATCTATCTTCATTATAATCTCCCCTCACCCTCACCTCCCAATTTCCACAGACTCCACAACACACCTTTCTCCCAATTTATTTCCCATTCTCTCTTTTTTTTGGTCACCTTTTGAGTCCAATCAGTGCTGCCTGCTAGGATGCTGAAAAATATGGTTGACATGATCTCATGCAGGTGGTGAGTTCAAGATTGATTCATGCCCTGTCTTGAATATGGCATTTCACACCACCCCTCTGGTTCTTACTATATTCCCTTACCCTCCTTCAAGATGTTCCTTGAGCCTGAAGTGATGGAAGTGTTGACACAGACGCTCCATGTAGGACTCATCATTCAACAGTCACATATTCTCAGCACTTTGATCAGTCAGGACGCTGTGTTCTGTAATGATCTACATGGCCAGTTACCAATGTCAAATGCAGAGTACTATGTTCTAGTCATGCTGCACATTTGTACTACCATACTTCGAGCAGGCTTGATCTGAGCTACCACTAATTCACTTTCTCTATATTTACATATTCTGAGTATTTCATATTAATGGGATCATAGATTATGTCATTTCTGTGACAGGCCTCTGTCATTTAGCACACTACAAATTGAAGCAAGGCTCACTGTCTCCTCTGTCTATTAATAAGTAATATTTAATATCTGTTGTGATATTAAAGTGAAGTGACAGTGAAGTTTCATGTTTGCCATGCTTGCACTGAAATTTGCTGCTGTTGCCATTTGCATACAAGATTCTGTCTGAATATTTGTTTTTATGTTTGGGTATATACCTTCAGAATCATTGTTGTTGAATCACAAAGAAATTCCATTTTTAACATATTAAGCAACTGAGCATATGTTTTTCACAGTAGGTTTAGCATTTTCTATGGCCTCTAGAAATGTAGGAGAGTTCCAGTTTCTCCATGATCCACTCAACACTTGGCTCCAACACTCAATGACTTTTATCATTGCCACTTAGTGGATGTGAAGTATGCTGGACCTGTGGTTTTAATGAGCTTTTTCCCAGTCCCAATTCAATTGAAAAACCAAGTTGATGTGGTAATGTCTACTTTTAGGTGATGTCTTTTACATCCCTGAATTGCTTTGACATTTTAAAAAGACTCATATTTATGTTTATGAGATTTTGCCTGCATAAATGTGTACCACATGCATGAAGTACCTCCTGAGGCCATAAAGGGGCTTTGAATCCCCTGTAACTGGAATTACACATGGTTGAGAGCAACCATGTCGGTTCTGGAACTCAAACCTTGGTCATCTGTATATCACCAGTGCTAAATGAGGAGCCATCTCTCCAGGCCTTATAGTAACTTTTGTGGATGCTCTGGGTACAATTAGCAGTGGTGTTTCATTTAGGTTTTTAATAATTTCTCTGTCAGTTACATATCTATCCACAGCTCATGTGTCCTTTTGCCTACATTCTTCCTTTTCTCAACATCTAATACCATTATCTTTGGTCTCCTTCTGAGCATTATTCCATATTCACACTTATACCTGTTCACATATTTAGACTTATTCATTATAGGATAGACTCTGGAAGTGAGGGAGATTGTGTGATTTTCCTCTCTTTCTTTGTTTGGGTCACCTTTCTTTGATCTTGGCTTTAGAGAGGTGCTGGGTACCAAATTCAGGTCTTGTGCCCCCACAGAAAGTATTTTATTAATGAATCATCTCTCCTGCACTGGATTTAATTATTTTAAAATTTTATTATATAGTATGACTTTGATTATTTGAGATTTAAAAATTTTTAGGCTTTAAGCCTCTGCCTTTCTCTGTACTATCTTGGTGTGTCTTCATTTCATACTCTTTTGAGAAATTTTCAATTCCCTTTCTGTGTGGAAGAGATTTTAGAATCTCATGCAAGCTAGGCATGTACTATATAATGAAATTGTATCTCAGGAAATTTTCCAATCGCCTCCTGGAGTTCTTTGACATGTTTTTATTTAATAAGAGTGTATTGATTAATTTGGACATACCTCTGACTTTCCTCATATCCTTTCTGGGGATAGTTTAAACAAAACTATATCATGTCAATTCAGAAACAAATGCTATCTGGGCTGTTCTTTCTTTCTTACTTAGTTATTAGATAACAACAAATTGATTTACTTATTAGTGTGTGTATATGTGTGTGTGGGGTTAAACTTTTCTTTGACCTGCCACTTCAAAAATAATAACATGGAGATGTATTAATTGTGAAAACTTTGCTGTAGCTTAGAATTTTCCCAACTATCTTTTATAACTTAAATTAACCTGTTTCTTTTAATCTATGTTTTGTCTTGTGGCCTGGTTACCTCTATGCTGTACTCCACATCTGACTTCTTCAGTGTTCCCCTGGTGTCTCTCTGCCTTACTTCTTCTTAGAATTGCTATCTTTCCCAAGAAACCTTGCCTATTTTCACTTCTGCATAACTACTGGACATTTAGTTCTTTATTAAACCAACCATAATGTCATATCTTCACACTGTAAGTAAATATTCCACAACGCCGCGCCCCTCTGTTTGTGTGTGTGTGTGTGTGTGTTTCTGTAAGTGTATGTGACTGCCTTGGTGTTTGTGTGGCATGTAGAGATCAGGGGACAATTTACAGTAGTTGTTTCTCTCCTTCCACAGCGTGGGATTCAGGGATCAAATTCAGGTTGTTTGGCTTTTCGACAGGACCCTTTAGCTTTTGAACCATGTCACTGGTCCCTGTCCATATTTTGGATCCACACAAATTTTGGGAGCAGAGTTTAAACCAAGAGTCAGATTTAGTGCTATGACTACTCCAGAATGCAAAAGAGCATTATGGTAGTGACCCAATGTGAGAAAGGTCTCAGAGAGAATGGTTGCTTGAGACAATGGTGATTTATTCTTTGGATTGCTTCATGATTTCTCTAATTGAAACTTGCATTTTCACTAAAACTTGTTCTTTATCTTTCCTTTCCAGTACTCTTTCCATTCCTCATCCCAATATATGAGATGTTAAATGTTTCCATGTTTCCAAAAGACTCAATAGCATTTTTTCAATAGTTTGTGGGCAGAATGAAAGAAAATCGCCTGGAATCTAAACAGAAAGTAAAAAGTGGTTGTCTCATGAGAGGTACACATTTGATAAGGGGTTTGGCTTTGATCATGTGAGATAAGTGTTTCCCTTCATCTATCACTAAAGCTAGATAGAGAAGAATGATTTAGAGAGATAGAAAGTGTATTTATATTTTTGGAGGAGGAAAAGATGGAGTTTTGAAAACTTAATTGAGAATAATCCAGAAATTAACCCTTAGGAATAGGATTGAAAACAAGAGTACCCTGCATAAGGATTAAAATTTTTAAAAAATGGCAAAGAAGTAGGCATATATGAGATGCACATCACAGCGTTTCCACCTTAAATGAGAGAGGAACTTTTCAAGTCCCACCTCTAATTGAGAAACTATTGCCTTCTGTTGACAACAGAGGGTGAGTGTGTCCTGCAGTAGGTTTCCCATACATATCACATATTGACAGCACCAGTTGGACTCATTTGGTAATAAAAAGCAAAGGTCATGATGTTTGGATGGAGAAACGTTATAAGGGTATAATAGGAACTGAATGGAGGAAATGGTAGGGTAGAAATGGCCATATTTTATTGTATACATCTATGAAATTCACTAAGAATAGATAAAAATGATTAAAAGTGGGAATACTATTTTCATCTCCTTCCAAAACTTTGATTTCAAAGAATCAAAGTTATTGTTTAAAATTGTATGCTTAGTAATTTATTGTAAGAGTGGCTGATATGTCAGTTGGATTGCTTACTTGTTTAGCCACCGGTGTTTTTCTTCTTTTATGACTCAAACCACCCTAGCCATGTTTGTGAATTTAAGGGAGGTAAATTTCCAGAAAGGAATTTAAGCTTCTTTACCCCTGATCCAACTCTGACTTCTGACTTCACCTTCTATTTTTGCAACTTCTCTTTCTGATTTCAGAACCGAGTGGATTTTCTTCAGCTGATGATGAACTCACAAAATAATTCCAAAGACAAGGAGTCTCATAAAGGTAAACAAGGACATCCTTGTCTATGGACAAGGAAGTGCTCATTGAGTTGTCACATCGCTCATAAAATGTGTGGAAAGGTTTTTTATCAGAGGAATACCACCGTCAGGTTCCTGAAAGAAGGACATGCCAATTATCAAAGTGGAATTGTCTAGAAGCACATGGGCACAAGTTCATTCCAAACATGAAGGGTAGCCATGTTGGAAGTCTTCATTGGTCTCTATGTGTTACTTAGATTTGCACAGGTACTGTTTATGTCCTCCCCTGAGAGACAAAGTATGAACTCACTAGGAACTCTGCCTAGATACCTGAGTCTACATCCAGTCATGATGTACCCAAATAGTGCCAATGATGTCTGGGAGTTCCTGGTGTACAAGTACTCTATTCTAATCTATAGTGAAGATTTACTTTTTTTGTGTGTTGAATAAGTGACATCTGGGGAAACCTTCTTTGTACATACATACTGATTCTCTTCATTATTTTATGCACTTTAATCCAAATTAATAAATTTTATATTTTCAGATGTCATATGTATGTGTGTACAAGTGTATGTGCCCATGTGCACATCACTAGGTGTGTGAATGGGTGTAAGACGAAGACAACATGTGTTGTGCTCAATCACTCTCTGCCTTATTCCCTCCAGACAGGGTTTCTTATTAAACCTGGAGCTAGTCTGGCAGTCAGCAGGTCCCAGTGATCCATGGATTTGAGGTTACAGGTGGCATGTGTTACCACACTTGGTTTTTTACATAGAAACTGAGGATGCAAACTCAGGTCCTCATGCTTATTACTATCATGGTTGCAAAATAATGGCATCCCAATTCCAGGTTTAATTCTACATGTGTGCATCAGTAGCTAATAAAAAGGGAATCTTCTGTTTTACATACCTTCTTATTTCTGATGCATACAATCACTTACATATAGCAATATGATTTTCAAAGAACACATACATGTTTCTTAAAGTCAGCATGTGTTTTGTGTTTAAATTTTCTCCAGTCTGTCTGCTTGAGCCCTTTCATGTGTTCAGCTAACTCCAAATTCTTCTATATCTCCTTCTCCTTTTGAGACCAAGTTTTATGTAGCCTAGACTTACATTACAGTCATGGTGTACCTGAGAATGACGTTTTCACTTCTAGGCTAGCATGCCTAGTTTGTACAGTACTGGAGATAGAGCACAAGGCTTTATACATGCCAGGCTAACACTCCATCTACTCATCAACTGTTATGTTTCATTTTTGATAGGTAAAAAAGATGTTAATTTACAAAATACCCACTTATTGTGGCTTCTTGTCCAGTTTTAATTTAGTATCAAGTACTTAAACTAATAGGTAGAAAGAATTTACCAAGAAACGAATCATAGCACTCACGGCAAAAGGATTGCAACTCCTGTATCTCAAAATCTGTGGGCTCCAATTCATCTTCTGCTCTCCATGGGCACTTGTACACATATATGTGCACATACACATAAAAAGCTTATGCTCTAACAGAACACTGGAATTCAGTTCCCAGTATCTATGCCTGAAAGTTCATAACCTTCTAAAATCCATCTCCAGGTAATCAGATGCCCTCTTCTGGCCTCCATGAGCACCTCTCCACACATAGCACTCCTACATACACAAATACACATAAATAAAAAAATAAAATACATCTTAAAAATTGAATAAATTACATGTCTTTAACTTACCTAATGAGGATGAGGAACAGAATATAACCCATGGGACATCATGGCTGTAGCAATCTTCCCCTTCTCTGTCTGTGTCACATGGATGTCAGATAGATAACAGTCCCAGGGTGATTGAATGGCTTCTCCAATGCTTTTGCCTTCATAGTACCTGGAGGTTGGGTTTGGTTGAGAACTAGTCTTATTAGTACAGGTGAGAGTAACCCTTGTTGACTTTTCCTATTGCTTGGAAATATATCCATTCGTTCTGGCATTATTTTTGTGTATGTTGTTTGTTTGTGTATGTATTTATGTGTTCACATTTGTGTGCACATGTGTGTATGCCAGACATTGATGTGATGGTGTGTTTCCCAATTGCTCTTCACTTTTTAGTAGTATTTTAAATTGCATTTTAGTGTGTTGCCACACATGATCATGCACACGCTGCCTGTGTAGAAGTCATAAGACAACTTGAAGGAGTTGGTTTTCTCCTTCTATCATGTGGGTTCTGGGGATTGAACCCTGGTTGTAAGGCTTGACAGCTGACACTTTAACTAACTGAGTATTCTTGTTGGACTTCAACTTTATCTTTTGGGATATGGGCCTATCTCAGCATCTTGAAACACATTTCTAGGTCAAGACTATCTTCTGAGTAAGCTCCAGGGTCATCTCAATTCTTGCCTCCATGGTGGAGGATTCTGTTCATGGTGTCTAGAATATCACTGTTTCTTAAATCTTTCATAGATGTGGGAGCATCTTCCCATACCTCCTGTATCATTTTTATGTACCACTTATTTTGAGAAATAGGAAACTACCAAAAAATACACTATTCTACTCTGCCTTCCTACAAAGATTCTTTTTTTGTTTTGAATCTGTCTCATTTTACGAAGACTGAGAAGGTCCAATAATCTTGATATTCTTGTAATTTGTTCAATCCATTTTTTGTTGTTGTTTTGAGACAGGATTTCTCTGTGTGATAGCCTGGATTATCCCAGAACTCACTTCATAGACTTAAATTCCTTGAACTCACAGAAATGTGCCTGTTTCTGCCTCCCAAGCCTTGGGATTGAATGTAAGTACCACCATACCTTGATTGTTCTATTCATTTTTTCCTGTAATTTATACATTAGACATAGCACCTAGTATTATTGTTATGCAAGTATAAAATGTCCTTTGATCACAATTTTTATTATATCTTCCTTTCCTCTCCCTTTTATAATCATTTTCCTAGACTTTTATTAATCATTTTCCTATAAATTGCCTTTGGTAGAATTGCCATTTTTACTATGTTGATCCGCCCAATCCAAGAACATGGGAGATCCTTCCATTTTCTGGTATCCACTTCAATTTCTTTCTTCAAAGACTTAAAGTTCTTGTCAAATAGATCTTTCACTTCCTTGGTTAGAGTTACCCCAAGATATTTTAGGCTATTTAGGGCTATCATAAATGGTGATGCTTCTCTTATTTTCCACTCTGCTTCTTTATCCTTTGTGTATTGGAGGGCACCTTCATTTTTGGAGTTGATCTTGTATCCTACCACATTACTGAAGGTGTTTATCAGCTGTAGGAGTTCTTTGGTAGAGTTTTGTGAGTTGTTTATGTACACTTTCATATCATCTGCAAAAAATGAAAGTTTAACTTCTTCCTTTCTAATTTTAATCCCCATGATCTATTTATGTTGTCTTATTGCTTTTGCTAGAACTTCAAGCACTGTATTGAAGAGGTATGGAGAGAGTGGACAGCCTTGTCGTGCTCCTGGTTTTAGTGGAATGGTTTTAAGTTTCTCTCCATTTAATTTGATGTTAGCTGTCAGCTTGCTGTATATAGCTTTTATTATATTTAGATATGAACATTGTATCTCTAATATCTCGAAGACCTTTATCATAAAGGGGTGTTGAATTTTGTCAAATGTTTTTTCAGCATCTAATAAAATGATCATATAGTTTTTTTCTTTCAGTTTATTTATATGATGGATTACATTGATAGATTTGCATATGTTGAACCAGCCCTGCATCTCTGGGATGAAGCCTACTTGATCATAATGGATAATTTTTCTAATGTGTTCTTGGGTTCAGTATGCCAGTATTCAGAATTTTTGCATCAATGTTCCTGAGTGAGATTGGCCTGTAATTCTCATTCTTGATTGAGTCTTTGTGTGGTTTTGGTATCAGGGTAACCGTAGCTTCATAAAAGGAGTTTGGCAATGACTCTTCTGTTTCTATTTTGTGAAAAACATTAAGGAGTATAGATATTAGCTATTCTTGGAAGTTCTGGTAGAATTCTACATTGAACCATCTGGTCCTGGGCTTTTTTCAGTAGGGAGGTTTCTGATTAACAGTTTTTAATTCTTTGTGACTTACAGGCCTATTTAAATTTTTCACCTGGTCTTGATTTAACTTTGGTATATGGTACTTATCTTTAGAAATGTCAATTTCTTTTACATTTTCCAATTTTGTGGCATACAGGCTTTTGTAGTAAGATCTAAAAAATCTCTGAATTTCCTCTGTGTCTGTGGTTATGCCCCCCTTTTTTACTTCTTATCTTATTAATTTGCATGTTCTCTCTCTGCCGTTTGATTTGTTTGGATAGGGGTTTGTCAATCTTGTTGATTTTCTAAGAGAACAAGCTTTTTGTTTCATTGATTCTTCAGATTTTTTTCTGCATTTCTATTTTATTGATTTCAGCCCTCAGTTTGATTATTTCTAGTCTTCTACTCATCCTGGGTGAGTTTGCTTCTTTTTTCTAGAGCTCTCAGGTGTGCTGTTAAGTCTCTAATGTGTGCTTTCTCCATTTTCTTTAATTGGGCACTTAGTGCTATGAGCTTTCCTCTTAGCACTGCTTTCATAGTGTCGCATAGGTTTGAGTATGTTTTGTCTTTATTTTCTTTAAATTCAAGGAAGACTTTAATTTCTTTCTTTATTTCTTCCTTGACTCAGGAGTGGTTCAGTAGTTGACTGTTCAGTTTCCATGAGTCTGTAGGCTTTCTGGAGGTAGAATTGTTGTTGAATTCTAACTTTATTTCATGGCAATCTGATATTACACAGGTAGTTACTACAATTTCTTTGTATCAATGGATGTTTTCTTTGTTACCAATTATGTGATCAATTTTTGAGAAGGTTCCATGAGATGCTGAGAAGAAGGTATATTCTTTTCTGTTTGAGTGGAATGTTCTATAGATGTCTGTTAAGTCCATTTGATTCGTTACATCTGTTAGTTCTCTTATTTTTCTGTTAAGTTTCTGCCTGGTTAACCTGCCCATTGGTGAGAACAGAGCGCTGAAATCTCCTGCTATTAGAGTGTGGGGTTTGATGTATGCTTTGAGTTCTAGTAATGTTTCTTTTACATAAGCGTGTGCTTTTATATTAGGGGCATAGATATTCAAGACTGTGACTTCCTCCTGATGAATTGTTCCTGTTATGAGAATAAAGTTTCCTTCTCCAACTCTTCTGATTGATTTTAGTTTGAAGTCAATTTTGTTAGGTAATAGTATAGCCACACCTGCTTAATTCTTTGGCTCCTTTGATTAGAATGCCTTTTCCCAACCTTTTACTTTGATGTAGTGTTTGTCTTTCAGTTTGAGATGTGTTTCTTGTAAACAGCAGAATGTTGGATACTATTTTCATATCCATTCTCTTAACCTGTGCCTTTTTATAGGTGAATTGAGTCAATTGATATTAAGTGATATTAATGACCAGTGGTTGCTAACTCTGGTTGCTTTTCCTAGTGGTAATGTTTGTGTGTTACCCTTCTTTAAGTTGTGTTGGTGAAGGATTGTTAGATGCTTGTGTTATTATGGGTGTTGTTTGCTTCCTTGGTTTGTGGTTTTCCTTCTAGTATTTTCTGTAAGGCAGGGTTTGTGGCTACGTATTTTTTAAATCTGTTTTTGTCCTGGAATATCTTGTTTTCTCCATCGATGTTGAATGCAAGCTTTACTGGGTATAGTAGTCTGGGCTTCCATCCATGGTCTCTTAGTGTCTGCAGCACATTTTTCCGATACCTTCTGGCTTTCATGGTTTCCATTGAGAAGTCAGGTGTAATTCTGATAGGTTTATTACTATATTGCTTGACCTTTTTCCTTCGCAGCTCTTAATATGCTTTCTTTATTCTGTATGTTTTGTGTTTTGATTATTATATGTCGAGGTGATGTATTTTTTGATCCAGTCTCTTTGGTGTTCTTTATGCTTCTTGTACCTTCATAGGAGTATGTTTCTTTAGGTTGGGAACGTTTTCTTCTATAATTTTGTTGAATTTATTTTCTGGGACTTTGACCTGTAATTCCTCTCCTTCTTCTAACCCAATTATTCTTAGGTTAGTTCTTTTCATGGTGTCCCAGAGTTCCTGGATGTTTTGTGTCAAAAATTTGTTAAATTTGCTGTTTTCTTTAATTAGTGAGATTATTTCCTCTATAGTATCTTCATCGTCTGAGATTATTTCTTCTATCTCTTGTATTCTGTTGGTTATACTTGTCTCTGTAGTTCCTGTTCGTTTTCCCAGATTTTCCATGTGCAGCCTTCCCTTGGTTTGTGTTTTCTTTATTACCTCCATTTTATTTTTCAATTCTTGAACTATTTCCATTACCTGTTTGATTGCTTTTTCTTGGTTTTCTTGGATATGTTTGAGAGATTTATTCATTTCTTCTACCTTTTTGTTTTTCTTCTCCATTTCTTTAAAGCAGTTTTTCACAACCTGTTTAAGGTCCTCTATTATTTTCATAGCATTACACTTAAAGTCGATGTCTTCTACTTCTTCTGGAATAGGGTGTTCTAATCTTCTCGTTGCGTGATCCCTGGAATCTGGTATTGTCATGTTGTCTTTCAGGTTGTTGGAGGAATACTTGCTTTGGCGCCTGACCATCTATCTCTTCCAAGTGAGTCTTGGTGTCTTGGTCCAATCTTTGCTTTGACTGACTCTCTGGGTAGATCTCCTCAGTGTAGGAGCAGGAACTGTAACTGGGTCAAGGAACAGTCTCGATGGATCTTCTCAGCACTGGAACAGGGACTCCTGGTAGTCCAAGGACCTAAAGACAAAAGGGTGATCTTGGGGGGAGGGCAGGGTCATGTAGAACAAAAAAGCCCCTGCAGCATCTGGGGACCTCACTCCTCTGGGTGGATAGCCTCAGTGCAAGAACAGGAACTGTTCTTGGGCCAAGAACTTCCCAGACAATAGGGCTGCCTTGTGGGAGGCAGGATCGTGTGGAACAAGGAATCTGCTGCAGAAAGAGCTGGAGAGGCTCTGTTCTCCGTTCTCAGTCCGTATGCCCTGGAATGGCACACACTCAGCCGTCTGGATGGAACTACTCAGCACAAGAACAGACTCCTGGCAGTCTAAGGACCCCATAAACTAAAGCGCCAACTTGGTGGGGGGGCAGGGTCGTGTAGAACAAAGCAGCCCCTACAGCACCAGCTGGAGATGCCCTGCACTCCCTTCCGGGGACCTGGTGGGCAGAAACTCATCCCTCTGGGTCAAAAGCCTCAGTGCAGGAGCAGGAACTGTTCCTGGGCCAAGGACCTTGCAGACACCAGTGCAGGCTTGGGGGAGGCCAAGTCATGGAGAACAAAGAAGCCCCTGGAGCAGTAGCTGGAGGGGCCCTGTGCTCCCTTTCAGGACTGTCTATCCCAGGAAAGTACACACTCACCGGCCTGGATGGATCTCCTCAGCACAGGAATAGGGACTCCTGGGACTCCAAGGACCCAGCAGACAAAAGGGCTAGTTTAGTCTATTTGTATGCACACCTTTCTTGGCTTGGATGGAGTGGGGAGGGCCTTGGACTCCCTACAGGGCAGGGTACCCTAACTTCTCTTAGGGCTGGAGAGAAAGGGAGGAGGGGAAGTAGGGGGATTGGAAGGGAAATGGGAGGAGGTTGAAATTTTTTTTCAAAGTTTATTAAATTATAAAAGTTTCCATTTCCGCCCCTCCTCCCAACACCCTCCCACTCTCCCACTCCCTCTCCTCCTCCCTCTCCATCCCTAAGAGCAGTCAGGGTTTCCTGCCCTGTGGGAAGT